CGTCATACGAACGTCATTCAAAAAGAACGCATAGTTAAATCGAAATTTATTGCAACATTTCAAACAAAACTATAAGTTTAAATTCAGTCTGGTTTTTTTATGACATTTGAGCCGTTTCATATCCATACATGTATGCTTCTTCACTTTACAGCAAATTATTGCGTATAGATTGTTTCCTTGTGTAAGTGTCAGCACTGTTGTTCAAATCTTTCTCCTCACATACATACATACATACATACATACATACATACATACATACATAAATACATACATACATACATACATACATACATACATACATACATACATACATACATACATACATACATACATACATACATACATACATACATACATACATACATACATATAAGTATGTCTGTTTGTGTGTGTGGTAATAATAAATAATAAGTATAAACAATTGCAATATCTCGAATTTTGAATAAGTATGGAACCTTAAAATTGAATTCATTGTGCATTAAAATTTTACTACACACAAACCAGAAAAGACTTTGTGAAGGGTCACTTCGACCTTTCTTCCATGTTAGTGTTAAACTTGAAAGGCCCGCATCTACGGCTTATAGAGAATTGATCGGGATATTCCCGGCCTGGGAAAGTAAACATTAGAGTTACTCACCATAACCGCTTCATAGGAATCCTATGTCAAATAGTCATTTTCAAAGGGAAGTTGATATGCATTATATTTCTTAGATTATAGACTGTGCATATCTGACGAAAGAAATGATAATCTTGTGGAAAAATTAGGAGCCGCTGCTTATGATTGTCAGCTTCAATTAGGGAGTACAACTTGGTGAATGATGAATTTAAAAGTACCGAGCTTGATCCAATTTCTTTAGTCCAAAAGTTTTTGCGAGAGGATAAGATCTGGCTCCGGGAAAAAAAGTATGAATAGGGCTTTCTTCGTTAAAACAAGTAAAATGTGACCAGGAGGCTGTCTTGTATGAAAAGATACTCTTTAGTGATATGACGCACACGTTTTGAAAGAGAGAAGCATTAATGTACGAAATTTTAATTTTTATATAATTTGTTTTTTTTATTTGTCTTGTTTATGCAAATGTGTTTGATATGACTATGATCCATTCTATGTATCGTTTGATCGATTCATGGAAATCTGTTGATATGCTAGAGTTGTTGATGCAATTTATTTCTTTAATTTTACGGTTACTAGTTCATAGATAGAATTGATGGGTTGCATGCGATCCAAATATTTAGATGTGTAGGATTTTATAGTGTCAACTGAATTAATTCTTTTCTTTGTTAGGACGATATTGAAAATAGTTAGTTAGCGATAACTGCATAATTATATATGAATTTATAATGCTTAAGGAATCTTGTAGGTTAGGTATATATATATATATATATATATATATATATATATATATATATATATATATATATATATATATATATATATATATATATATATATATATATATATATATATATATATATATATATATATATGATGTATGTATGTATGTATGTGTGTGTATCTGTGTGTATGTCCATGTTTATACAATTGCTTCATTATTTACATTGTCAAGAATGTAAGATCCATGCACAATGTACGCGTTGCATTTATGATTCATAAACACACGTGCCAGTCGCGTTTATGCTAACATCTGGACTTTAGACTTGCATGAGCATCCGCCAATTGTCTCCAAGATTTGATTTCTGTCGTTTTAGGATATAGACAAAGAAAGCGAGTTTATGTAAAAGTTAGAAACATGAATAACCCACTTTTATAGTGATTAAAATTAATACATCGAACTTGTTTGTTACCGCTCTAAATTTGAAATAGATTTGATTTATTTTTCAGTAGTCTTTTTGTTTGGTTGAGAAAAATCATATTTAGAGACCATACAGTTTAACGAGGAGGTCAGTTTGGGTGTTGTCACAAGGTTCTGGGGGTGGGTTACCTCGTATACACATACCGTTATATTTGTTATTTCAATAATTATCATACAGATTAGTTTTTGCTTTAATTCTATTATCATAGAAATGTGCACGTACTGATGATTATGATGTTTAGTCTATAAAGTGGGCGGCTTTTAAAGCGTACGTCGCAATGCTTGGAACAATTTGTGTCTGGCTTAAGTTACAACACCAAACCGATTGAAACAATTAAGATCAACTCACCAGGTGTTCGCACTGTGTGGACCTTATGGTACATTTCAAATAATAAAACTGAACGAAGGACAGTCTTTAACAAGACAGAATCTACTTTTTGCTGAGTATGTTGATTGTTCCAGCTGATACAACACGAAACTTTCTATTTATAAGGGTTCTAAGTCAGCTGAAATAAATCTCCCCAAAGGAGTTAAATGCTAACAATAGCGTTGAAAACTATTTGAGCAGATGTTACTTGCTTGTCAGGATTTCACAAATTTTTCTAATGTGTTTGCGCTCGGCACTGACTGTAGGCACCATTTCGACTTAAACTTTTGCATCATTTCCCGTCCCTTCCCACCAATCACCTATCACTCTATAGCCCCAAAACGTTGGATTCAAAGGAAAAGGTAAACCAACTGTGCATGCATGCTAAACACAGTTATTATTTTTGGCGTGTATTTAGCCATGTGCCTGGTTAGGTCTGTCGTATTTCATCATGGCTGTGCGTGAGAATCGAATACCGTTTCGAAAATTTTGTAAATGCCGCTGGCAATTTAGATTTGCCGTTTTAAAAATAATTAAAGCAGCAAAAAGGAACGTTCCGTTATAAGAGTTTATCCTTCGTATGGCACATAATCTTAATAATAGATACTCAAATGATTAATGACATTGTTTTCAGACTAATATTTAATAATATCTCGTAAACAGTATTAATATATAATTACACTAACTATTAATTTCTTTTAATTTAACTTATCCCTCCAGTAAATTCCATAAATTTTAATTTATTAATATAACATTTCGTGTTTATAAATTTGATATTCCCAAAGATGATAAAATAAGTGTGGCCTGAATCAACACATAAATATCGAGTCACCAATAAATGCAAATAAATACTCAATCTGGATGACAAAAAGATCAATCTTCGCCCATCTCGTCACCATTAACGTTCCTTTACATACTTTAATTATTGATTAGTTGCAACGCTTTTATTGCACTTTCAATAATACATTTTACTTTTTTGCAATACATCTATTTTGCATCATAACTGTATGTATGTATGTATGTATGTATGTATGTATGTATGTATGTATGTATGTATGTATGTATGTATGTATGTATGTATGTATGTATGTATGTATGTATGTATGTATGTATGTATGTATGTATGTATGTATGTATGTATGTATGTATGTGTATATATATATATATATATATATATATATATATATATATATATATATATATTCCATATTTACAAGTGTACAACACATCAATTCTATAGAGATACTAATATAATATTCCCAAAGGTTTATTATAATTCCATATTGAGATAAAAAAAAAAATCTATTCTCACCATTTTATGTTCCTATTTCCATTGAAGTTTAATATTTTGTATAATGATTCATAAGATGTAGAAATCTTATATCTATGTAAACATGAACAAACTGGTATTACAGCAAATTATAGGGTCTATGTATACATCCGGTAAACTTTGACAATATGGTGCACAGTACATGATATTAAAATTCGATTGAAATAATTCAAACCACATGGAATCTTACACAAGTACACATAATTATGGATGATAGCAATTATGAACCAGGGGGACAATCAATCAAACTCCGGCTAAAAACTGCAGCAAATCCAAAGAATTAAAATATTTCCAAAGAAATGAAAACTCGAATTATATCGATAGCTTAATTGCATTCTCTACATGCTTCTATTTCGAGTTTGTAGATTTCTGACAATGAATTATGCTCTTGTCTTCTCCTATATAATTGTCATAACGCTTTTGCACCAGTCAGTATGATGTCTCTTTATAATTCAATTGACGTTGAGTAGTTTTATATACCTGTCTATTGTATCCGCTTGCTTTATCGCAATTTTATCTGAATAAAACCAAGACGATAAATAAACAAGTGAAAGTAGCACTCATAGAAAAGGAATATAGTATCCCTTGAAAAGATAATAATTTTAAGTTTTCTGCTTTGAACAGCATTTAAACACCCTAGAATATGCACACAAAAAATTCTGTTGATGATTTTTTTTCTTCTTTGTGTATTTTACTTTTTGTAAAATTTTCTTTACAATCCGACGCACTTGGAAAGAAAATACCGCATATAGATTAAATGCCATAGTAAGGCTCTGTGAATTAAATTGTATTCGCAACATAAGTTGTTTGGTGAAACGGGGCCCAGCACTGTAACCATTGATCAAACAAGTCCATCAAAGGTTTCTAGACACGAACTATTTAACTTTGATTTGCACAAAATAGATAATATGTGATTCATGGGGATCCAACATAGAAAATAATTAGGCTTTTCATGACAAATACTGGTTGGTACAGACTATTTTTTTTTCAGTGGAAAAATAAATGAGGTTTGCCTGTACTCCCTGCCTGTATGAGACGGTCAATCAGGTCGCTCTTCGTAAATATGTACGGACACACACACACACATACACACACACACACGGTATATCGTCTAAGTCTGATTGACAGTCTCTTCGAAACCTTGAGATTCTACAGACAACCTAAACAACTGTTTTTAAATAATGTGACGACGAAGTCAATTTTGATGTCCGATTAAGCAATGAATGTGGCATTTTTGTCCCCCAAATAGATGCTTGTATAATGACGATCTGTATGTAATTTGTATTTTTGTCGACGCTTTATCAATATTTCAGTCATATCGCAACGATGTCTGCAGAGTTACATTGTATGCCTAGCACTGGGGTATCATGCAGCATACATGTAGCATGATGTCTCATCCAATCACGTTATTCTGACATCAGGCCGACCATTCGTAGCATTAGCCTCTTAATGCTGAGAGCCAAGCGAGGCAGCTGTTAGTACCATTTTCTTAAGTCTTTGGTATCAAAAGGCCGGGATTAGAACCCGCGACCTCCCACATCCGAGTCGGACGCTCTAACCACTTGGCCACCAGAGCGGTTTAAAATGACGACAAAGGGACAAAGAGAAAACACAAATTTTTTTTATCTGTAAATCCATAATTATTTGGCGTGAGCACATGTCATATCCCATAATAGCAAGTGACAATTATCCACTCCAAACCTTCAAAGAAACATCCTTCTGATAATTATGAAATAGATGCTTTTTGTTCCAAAGTTACTAGTCAGCGTGCGAAATTAAACAGGACATTGCACTTAAATTTTGAAACTTTTCAGACACGCCTAAGTATGAATGCCTTTATGATTCGAGAAATTGTTTGTAAAGTTGGGACAGAAGTCACATAGGCAGCTGAGTAAATATAAACCGTAAGTTCAACCTTATTTCCTTCCAAAGTGCTAGCAAGTTAATAAGTGCGTGTATCGTATGAATATTCTAAAGATGCTAATAAGCGTGTGTTTCGTCTACATCTCACCTACATAATAACGGAATATATCTGCTTATACGTGTCTCTTATTTATGTATGTCTGTTACTTATGCATGTCTATGCATAACTTATGCGTCTACTACTTAGGTACGTCTATTAATTATGTAAGTCTACTACTTATGCATGTCTATTACGTGTGTATGTCTATTACTTATGTGTATCTATTACTTACTTCTATGTCTATTACTTAGGTATGTCTATTACTTACTTATGTCTCTTACTTATCTATGTCTACAGCTTATATATGTATATTACTTGTTTATTTCTGCAACTGATGTATATTTATTACTTATGTAACTTACTTATGTATGTCTATTACTTATGCATGTCTCTTACTTACGTATGCCTATAACTTACGTATGTCTCTTATGTATATCTCTTACTTATGTATGTCTACTACTTATGTATGTCAGTATGTCAATCATGTGTGCCAACTACTTAGTTATGTCTACTTAAGTGTGTCTAGTGCTTTTATATCTACGGTGTATGTGTATCATTTGCTTATGTGTATCCATTGTTTATGAGTGTCTATTGCTTATACGTGTATATTGCCTATTGTCTACTACTTATGTATATCTGTTACAAATGTACTTATGCAAATAATAAATATATACATTCACAAATAATGATGCAGCATGTAATTGTTATGCAATTTCTAAATCGTGTCACTGCTTTATCGTTACCGATGATATATTAGTTTTTATGATTGGGCTGATTTCTCAGAGACCTTTCTATCTTTACCTATCATCATCACCATCTCTCTCTCTCTCTCTCTCTCTCTCTCTCTCTCTCTCTCTCTCTCTCTCTCTCTCTCTCTCTCTCTCTCTCTCTCTCTCTCTCTCTCTCTCTCTCTCTCTCTCTCTCTGCTTATGATTGAAAACAGTGGACGTGTAGGATTATTGATGTCAATGCAACGATAACGTTTTTTTTTTATTGTATGTTTTTTTTGCAGTTACTTCGTTAAATTAACCTGGCGTATTGCTTTAATAAATATTACCGATTCATCTTCGTGTGTCACTGTTGGTCATCTGGTCCGCTTTATTGGAATCAGTACACAATTAATAAAATCCGGTTCAGTACCCACGAATGTAGTCCCAGTCTATTTTTAGATCACTTTTTCCGGTCTAAATTTGGTGGTGATACTAGAGTTAGATTTTGGCATTCTTGGTAAGGATTTAAAGGCAATTGATTATTCTTTAAAATGTGATCTTATGGTGTGGTTGTCTGTATGTATTTCGGCGACAGTGCACATTGAGTAATAAGGTCATGGTGATGATCCGGAAGTGAAATCTGTGTTCCGTTGCCTGGTGTTTTGTTTACAATTCAGCCTCTCAAAAAAAATGCAGGTCAACCCTTGACAAGAACTACACCGTTAAGTCATCTTTGAAAGTACTTTAGATTAACATATGATTTGTATTGATTGTCACACAGAGGAAAGTTCAGTACTGAGGAACAAATGTAGAGACCGTATAGTAAAATTAATTGTGTACTATGGCCTGTCAGTAAAAACTTGAAACTGATATAAATTTTTTATTATTAATGACATATACATGAAATTTTAATATTTTATGTATATTGACTTTAAAAATACAAAAATGAAATTAGAAGTAAAAAAATAATTTTAATTTTAAAAATTTAAATAAAATTTAAAACACAATTAAAAAATAAAAAATTTCCACCAAGTATACACATATATAATATTTTTTGGGAATGATATTAAATGATATCAGCATATATATACTCCTACACCATATACAAGCTCAAATGATGGATATTTGTCAAATTTGATCAGGGAAAATATCTTTATTAGTCAAAATGAGAGCCTCATTTAAAATACATGAAGACAAAATTCTACTTTGCTTTGTACCTTTAGGTCATTGAAACTATTTATTTGGGGTTCAAACAGTTAATTTATGTGTTTATGATGGGGTGACTTCCTGAGTAACACATATCTGCTTGTATAGCTATCAGTAATTGTTTATAACCATAGTTATAGGGTATTTAGTGAGAGGACAGAGATGAAGACTTTATACTAGAACCTGTTCAAGTTCTCTACAAAATCATATTAAGCTGTCAGAGAATGAAATACAGGTCAGAGGGGTAAAATATACTTTACCCAGGTATATTTACCATTGCATGTAAGAAAACAGCAAAATGATGTAAGTTGAACACAGAATGCATTCCATTTTATTGTTCAGTTTCTTTAAGATGTTGATTGATGTAGTGCGACATTGTAGCCTAGATGATATTATGGGAATTCTCATGATCCATTTTGCTTTATGCATTATTAATGACTAATAATATTTGTTATCTGACACTTTAAAGATTACATAAGTAATATTCAAACAGATTATTTGAATTTAACTTTCTACAACTGATCCTAACATGGTTACATAGCTGACATGAACAAATATGCATATATTTTGTAATGTTTGGAATCTAAAGTTGACATTGTTAGGCTGACATGGTACCTATAGTGAATCTGTAAGGCTCAGTTTTGATTGTGTGCACTTAAAATATCCCAAGATGTTATTTTCATCATGAATATGCCTCTGTATGGTAACACATTTCAATTTAGTACTTTGACAGAGGGCGGTATTGCAGCATCAGCTGATATTTCATTCCATTGAATCATTGAATCATTGAACTTAAAACCTTGGTAGCCAAGACTCTTAAAAATAGACTAAAAATATTCAAACAGATTATTTGAATCATGTTTGCACATGTGATTTTAACAAGTACATTGCATATGTCCCACACATGCAAATATCCATCCTTGTTTACAAGTTTTCGGGATGCAAATTTCACATTTAGTTGATGATATAGGATCTATTGGTACCTATAGTTGATCTGTGTGGCCACATTTTGCTATATTCACTCACAATATCTAAAATTGTTTTTTCCTTCATGAATAGGATTGCATATAGTAATAAATTTTAATTTGGTACATTGTCATTTGACTTTCCACTATACTGGTATGTATCAATCTTTGCACCAATGATCAAACCTCACCGTTCCAACATTGCCTTAAACTTTATGATACATACTCTACCTGATTAGTTATTTAACCTGTAAATGGCTAAATATGCTTGTAGAAACTTCATCTATTTTTAGGATGCATTTGTCACTTTAATACATGCCCATTGCTTCACATCTTTGAGTGTCACTCTATCAAGTTTACCTTTTTTAACCATATTTGCAACCTGAATGTTATATTGAAATCACCATATCTAACACATTTTAACTTCATTTGCCTACATCTTCCTTTTTTTAGAATTAAGTGAAACATGTTATATATTTTCAGGTCTAGTCTGGTATCTGAAACAAAGTATTAGAGTTGGATCAATTTGGAAGCTCTCCAGTAGTCCAATGGTGATAGCAAGGTCTCATAAGGACATGTGCAGTGTGCTGCTATAAGTGACCAAGATGAGTTCATATCAGTACACTGATATACAGCATCTCAAAGACATGGCTTAGATCTTCATGAGAGAGATTCACATCTTTTTTCAGTAAGGTGAAACTGTATTTTCATATTGCATTGTTGACTTTTGTAGTTATCGGCATTAAAATGGAATGCATATTTGCTATAAAACATGGTAGTGGTCCCATCAAAACTTTAAATTTGAGTGGGATATTAGTTATACAAACAACTGTCCAAGTACCTGAAACAATAAATGTGGAACATAGTACCTGTCATTGTTTCTTTAGTATGTACACCTATATGCATCTGGATAGGCATATTGTAATTTGCTGTCAAAATCACTGTGAGCTATCATGCTTCAGTACCCCTGGGATTAATATTATCAGTTGTACAGACCTAAACTACCATTTGTTTTAAAGACCATTCATTAATCAACATTGCTGCCTTAAATTTGTCAAACTGAATGTCATAACTTGTATGAAAATGTTTTTTTTGTAAAATAAAAAGTTTTTAAAATTTATATATTTTTTTAAATTTTCATTAAAATTTAATATATCAATATTTTTTAATTTCAAGACTATTTTCAGACAGGCCTTATCAAGTATTGCAATTAGGTTTTTACTGCATTGAAAAATTCCTATAATTAAGGAAGATATAGCAAATTTAGTTTTGGTTTCTTAAGAACAATTGGACCTCAAATTGCACCCTATAGAACACCAGCACTACACACTTTCTGACAGCTGTCACATGTCTTGCTTGCAAGGAAATTTCAAAAGACTTTATGTATGAAGTTGAAACAGTAGTGGCATGCAAAATAAAATGCAAATATAAAAGTTTGATAAAAACATTGACCCTTTCAGGAATCAGTACACAATTAATAAAATCCGGTTCAGTACCCACGAATGTAGTCCCAGTCTATTTTTAGATCACTTTTTCCGGTCTAAATTTGGTGGTGATACTAGAGTTAGATTTTGGCATTCTTGGTAAGGATTTAAAGGCAATTGATTATTCTTTAAAATGTGATCTTATGGTGTGGTTGTCTGTGTGTATTTCGGCGACAGTGCACATTGAGTAATAAGGTCATGGTGATGATCCGGAAGTGAAATCTGTGTTCCGTTGCCTGGTGTTTTGT